TAACGAGTGCGCCGTCTAATGCTTCAACCCATTACAAAAGCTTGTTCTTTTTTCCCTACAAACTGCGGCTCATACCCACTTCAGCCATACTTCCTCATCGTCGTCAGCCACTGCATGAACAACTGGCACAAAATTCCTGGCGAATGTTTAGCGTATACCACACTTCTTAGGAGAATGATGAAAAATAGCATAGCGAATGCCAGCCTACTACAAAAAAAAACATTATTACTAATGCCCTAGTGGGTATCAAGCAAGTGTGCTTGCAGTAGTTACCCATTGAGTGTTAAGAAAAGGCTCTGAAAGGCCGCTCTTGTAGCTTACGCTGCTACTGTGCTGTCTCTTCCACGCAAGCTTGGCGTTTTCTTTTTTTTTTTTTTGATATCCGCCTAGTTTTTTTGCGCCACATACCCATCCGTTAGGCTAAGTGGTGGTGGGGGTGGTAAAAATTTCAGCAAGGTGGCAAGTTGGGCTAGTTGTATTACGTTCATAATTGAAAATTTTGTTGAAGCGCACTAAAGACGGACGGACAGAAGAGGCTGACAAGGAAGCGCTGTCCTTGTCAGCCTCTTCTGTCCGTCCGTCTATCGTGCGCTTCAACAAAATTTTCAATTATGATAAGCATGTTTTTTGTGTGTGAAACGCACTAGAGCCTTAGTCGGGGATGCCATGGGAGATGGCTGCTGCCCGCGTGCTCACTACCAAAAAAGCGTTGCGCACCCAAGGTGAAGCAACCGAGCAGCTACTCCTCTGAAGCCTCTCCCACTGCGGTGGGAAGGCGGAACGAGGAAAGGGGTGAGAGTGTTGCCCTCATTTTTAACGACCCACTGGTGAGCACTTCGGAGATTTACCCAATATCTGTGGTGCACATTCATTTATGATGCCCGACATGATAGACTCTACCAAAACAAGCTTCCCCTCTGAAAGTAGATGTAAGGAGTGAAAAGTGGGATGAAAGTTTCAGTCAGCGCAACTGCTAACGTGGCAAGGAAAGTGCGAGAAGTGTTAACCAAATTGGAGGCGACATTACCTTTTTTTTGTTCTCACGCGAAAATGGTTGTTTTTCATATGTCTTGGAAAGATCATTTTTGCCTGTTTGAAAAGTTTCCCAGCACGCTTTGCAGCATACTAAACTTCACACTATGGTAAAAAAAAAACATACGCTGTAAGAGAAGCAAATATATTTTAAATTGAATGAAAATGTGAAAACTGAATTATCCCGTAGCTGGCTAGTGAACAGGGCAATAGAAACCCTACATATGCCGGAATATTCAAAATAAACAAAAAATTCAGTATATTCATTTCGTGGATAATTTACCCAAGAACAGTATAAAAACATTGAATGTTGTATGAAATTTTTTACTTCGCATAGATGAAGGAAATGAGAACCGAGGAGCAGTTTTGTCACTTGGGCCTTGCGTTGAAGCAATGCATTGTTTTTCGTGGGACACTTTTCTCAGTATATTCCTGCTGTCTTGCGATAAAGGCGCCCAGGTGTTCCAACATGCCCCTGATGTGAATAATTCCTCTATAAACGAGATGTCAAATGAACTTCGCTATTTCATCTAGCGTCACCTCGTTCCATCAGCCACTTCACTACGTATAAATTAGCGTTTCAATATATGTATTCAAGCATATTTCTTTGCATGTTACGCCTTTCGTATCAAGAAAAGGACAATATTGCGTGCAGTTCTAAAACATTTTGCACTGCTCCGTAGTCGGGGCCAAAATATGCTCCGGGGGCTTTCTCTTCGTTAGGAGAATTTGTGCAGCCAGCACCAGCACGTCGTGCCCCAGCGAAGTGTGGAGTGCAGACGTAACCAGAGTAGCGATAAGGTTCTGCACATAGGTCAGAAACTATACGCACCAAGTGCAGGAGGCAACTTGAGGATGTAAACAAAACGAACCCATCAATGGCCACGAATGTCTCAGGTTTACGCAAAACATCGTCGCCATAAAGCTTGAAGCTGAGGTCTTGTCGTCTCTTAGCTTTAAGCTCATTCTCATTGAATTCAGGTGGGGTTGCAAGACAATTTCGAGCACCGCATGTGTTTTGCAGCGCAGGCGCGCACCTATGCGTGCCTGACGACGACATCATGGGAGCGACTAGTGACACCGAACTCGATCCTGTGCTTGATATAACGATGCAATCAAAACCAAAGCTGCTGGAAACTGTCAGAGAGTCGGTGCAAAACTACATGAAATGCTGAGAGCTGTCAGATGGGGAAGCAGAGGAGAATCAATGCCTGTACTTAGAAGGTAATTATTGGGCCTCCGGATATTTTGACCACCTGGAATTCTTTTAACGTGAAACTCTAATCTAGGCGCACAGACCTGTCGCATTTCGCTTCCATTAAAGTGTGGCCGCTCGAATACCAAGAAAAATAAAGTAGGAGACCCTTAAGCTTTGACTTCAAAGAGTTTAACGTGAGAGCGAGATCTTGTCTCTAGTGCGTACTTCAACCAATTGAGGAGGCGGAATAAACTTTATTATACGAAACCAGCAGGTTTAGGTGGCTGGGCCTAAGCCTCCCATGAGGGGACGTCAAGGGCTTGCCTTGACGCCACCTTACGGGCATGCTGGGTCGCCCAGGTTTGGTCGTAAAGAGCGATGCTCCGCAGAGCCTCATGGAGCTTAGACGAAAGGGTCGTGGTGTTAATGTGTCTGTACTATGCCGGGCACTTCCATGGCATGTGCGGAAGCGTAGCCGGGTGAGTGCCACAGCCCCGGCAGTGGGAGGTTGTGTACACGTCCGGGAATATGGGGGGAAAGCGGGCAGGCGAGGCATACGTGTTTGTTTGAAGTAGACGCAAAGTGGTGGCCTGTGCCCGGTTGAGCTTGGGGTGAGGTGGGTGAAAGGCTCGGCGTCTGAGGTAAAAGGACCACCAGGGACAACCTGGCTACCACTTGAAAGTGGCTTGTGAAGCTTTCGCTTATGGCTGCGTTTTCTGCAAAGGGTACCATGCTTAAAATCATGGGCAATTAAGAGCATGATATCTGTTGTAACTTGCCATGCACCGACTACGTGGCCTAAGAAATAGGTGCCGTAACGTGTCTGTCTTTTGTAGTGAATGACCGTCTTCAAACAATAAGTCATCATGATTATCGCATGGTCCGACTTCCGATCGCAATGCATGCTTGTACTACGCATTATTACTGTTATATACATGTGTTGTTGGCCATTCATAAAGGGCACATGCCTTAAGGCTAGTTTACCTGCATTTACAATAATATGAAGTCATTTTTTTCACTATTTCTCAAGCAGACGCGTTGCCGTGTGGTAGAACGCCTGTTGGCCGCGAAAACAATCAGGGTTCAATCCTCACTCGGACCTGGAACTTTTTATCATTTTATCTGCATATTTCTCAATTTTTGGTCATGCTAAAGATTTTTCTCTCGCAACCAACGACTCCAACACCAACGCCGCATTTTCTGCGGAGTGAGTTCATATATATTGCATTAAGCAATAGCGTTAAATGACTTTTTCAACCGTCTAACGTGAATGCTCAATACATCCTGCGAGTCTTGTGCTGAATGTCGTTGTCATCTGAGCACCAACACTCCGACAATTTTTTTTTGTATTGACAAGGCCTAAAACTGACTTACAATGGAAACCACACAGTGCCATCTCATCTTTCTCATGCACAAGACGCATGACTGGCATCTGCGCGAAGCGAATATTTCAAGATGCAGGAGATATAGGTCTTGTCACTGAACCAGTCTGAAACTAATACAGGAAATATAGGTGCTTAGATGCGCTAGCACTACCAAATGACGGCTCTACCGGATATCTTGGAAATATTTATTTATTTATTTATTTATTTATTTATTTATTTATTTATTTATTTATTTATTTATTTATTAGTTCAGCTGCCTAACGTGCCCGATTTGCGTTATTGAAGGGGAACACCAACATAAGGTAATACATTACATTCCTTTATTGAATACGTCAAAAAAGATGACGCTCAGCGACACTTAGAATTCCTTTCACGATTACTGAGCACCGCTTCGTTGCCACGTACACAATGGCGAACGCTTATAATCGCTGAATGTAGATACACGTTCACTGTTGAAGAGAACGCCTTCATGCACAGCATGCTTTATTAGGTGCGAAGCAGCTCTGACTAGCCTGTGTAACGCTGTCTTACCATCCGCACCCAACTCTCCTGGCCGCAGGTGTTGGATAGGTGCCAAGTAGGTGAGGCCTTCCCTCGCAGTGCGTGTGCGTTGACGTCACTCTCTACCTAGCCTGTCGCCGTTAGCCACGCGTCGTCTCCCTCGCTTCATCCTCTCCTCCACTCGCAACGTTCGAGCGCACATCGAGCGAAAGTCTTTATCTGCGACTAAACTTACACGAAACCTCACGTGACGTTGCTTTTCTAACAGGCGTTTACTCGAGTAAATGCTACACCGAGTTTCGCTTCAGACCGTTCAAGCACTCCTGTCGACGCCAGTTTCTACCCGGTCAACGTCGTGCGCACCGCTGCTGCTTCGCATCCCCTCAGGATTTTGCCTTCGAGGAGATGGTCCATAATTTTTTTCTATCTTACAGAAGCATAGCGAATGACTTGCATAAAGTTACGAGTGGTTCACAGCTTTGACTGCTCTTGACATGCTACAAACGTGCTTAAAGATTGTTTTGTTATTCACTTGCTGTTATTATATGTGGTGTTGATTCGAGTGTTCCCTTTAACCGTGAACCGTGCTCTACACAGCCAGCTTCCCCGATTTAAAAAGCGTAGGTCTGGCCATGTTGGTATGACCCTTTGCAGTGGACAGTGCCCAATTGACTTCATTAAGGCATCAAAAAAACGCAGATGAGAGACGCTCTTTGAAGGAACACGTGCTATGTTCATGTTTCCACTCTGTAACCTGTTGTTTTTGGTACGCTATAGAAGTTAAAATATATTTTACGAGTTCCTTTGTTCCGAAAACTATCGTATAACTAGTTGGCAGGGTTATATAAATAACAAAATACAAGAAAGAGACGGAAGACAGTTGGTAGGCTTCCTAGCACTGTTGATGGCGGAATAGTGCGTCACGCTATGTCGGCGGCCCGTTTCTTGCTTCGTTCAGATAAAACTCCTTGAATTGCTTGAGTCGATCGAAGGGTCCCTCCGTCAAGCAATGGCGGGTCACGTCCGTCAGCTCCACATTGAAGAGGAACCAACTGAAGTTGGCTCTCCTCTCCGGCTTATTCATGATGACTTTCGCCTGGCAAAGACGACGACAAAAACAATTAGGAAACATCAGTGACCATCGCAGCTGAGGTGCTTCCTCAGCGCGTAGTTCTACGCAAAGATGGACGTTATTTGGCAAAGCAAGAATCAGGCTAAGCTGGAAGCCTTGAGAGCGATGTCCGCACTTGGCAACAGTCTGTGTTTTTGTTTTATGTCAGGCTGCTTGTATTTTTATTTCCAGGTGTTGAGTTTGTGTCCCGCTTAATACGCCCCCCAGTAGTGCAATGGAAACTTTATAAATTGCATTCTGGCAACATTGCTCTTCCGGCATATTTTGTTCACTCGTGCGAGCTGGCAGTCTGTGTGTCCCAGCAATGTCGATGAGCATTTCTGGCAGCGCATACGGACACCGCTTGCGTTCCTGCAGGACATGTACCGCGTTTGGACGGTACGCCAATGAGCGTCGTTTGGGTGAACAAGACATGGCATAAAAAAGGTGTTTTCTGTTTTGTTCGATAGGTGGCGCCGAATTTTGAAAAGGGTCTCTTTATTTCATTTTTTGCTTCATGCGTGTTGGTTTCTAATACTAAAAAATAGAGAGAGAAGAAAAATCTGAAATTCTTGGGCGATAGAACCATGAAGACTCATCCGCCTTTCTCATTATATTCTCTACGAACTCAACATAGGACAGTTGATGACTTTATCCAAGAAAGCTACGTGGCTGACAATGTTTTAGCACGCTTGTTCTAACCCCAATAACAACATAGAGAGGTAACCATTTTGCAGGTAGCGTTTTCCGATTGATTATTTGCATCACATTGGCTCCACAAACATTTGGTTATTTCATAGGACAAACTATTTTATTCACGCGAATACTGTCTGCTGCTTTCATCAGTTTGTAAACCAACGCCGCAAAAGCGCTCCAGATAATGTAAAAAAAGACGTTTTGCGTGAAATTTTACAACATAAAAGTGAAGCACGCTGCCATGTAGAATAATATTTCACGATCTAGATTCTTCAAAAGCAAACCCGAATTTGAGCACACCGGTGCGCATGTACGAATTTCGCCCAATGTTAAAATTGCGCATGGCGACTATAATTTATTTACATCCGTGTCATTCTATTAGAGGTTCTTTTTAGGAACAACTTATGTACCAAATCGTCTAAACAAGGAACAACTCATGTACCGAAGTGTCAGATTTCACTTGACAAGTATTCCGCTGTGGTGTTACCAGGACCGTACAATAAATGAAGCACTACAGCGCCACAGTTGGAGACCTAACAACAATGCAAAAGTTTGTTCGCCACTGAGACGCAAAAACGCTGCGTTCACACAAGATTTAACACTCCTTGTGCTTGGGACGACACCAAATGGACCTAACGATGTGTTTCAACTAAAAAGTGGCACCTAATCTGACAAGATCTTGGCGAACGGCGACAATACACAGCGCCAACGGCAAGTGCCCGAACTTATCGTATTGTAGTGGATGTACAGTCGAGCAAGGCCAAATGTCTTCGAATCGTGCTAGGCAAACGTACACACAATGAAATTTAAGCTAACAGAAAGAAAAGAACCATCGTTTAAGGACGAGCATGACGTACGCGCACATTACGTGGCTAGCATACGATGCAGGGAGCTATCTACACTCGGCGCACTTCCACTAGTGGCCACCAGGTGGAGAATCTGCTCGATCTCTGGCCGAATTTTGATGGGTTCTCTGAAGTTCGCTTCTATGGGAGTTCACTGCGGTTATCTTCTGGTCCTTTCTAGTCTGTCAGGTAGTTTGGACGGTGAAGGCTGATTTGATTGATGTGTGGGTTCTGATGTCCCAAAACCACCATATGATTATGAAAGACGCCTTAGTGGAGGGCTCCAAAAACTTTGACTACCTGGGGTTCTTTAACGTGCACCCAAATCTGAACACACGCGCCTGCATCACCTCCATCAGAAATGCAGCCGCCGCAGCCTATGGTGAAGGCGTCAAGAGCATGCGAGTATAAGTATTGAACTTCACACAGAGCTCAACTTAGATCATCGGCAATAAAGAAAGGTGGGCTATTGGTTGTGTGAATTAATTTTTTTACTCTATATACACATCTAAACTGCAACAAGGCGCTGCTCCTTGTATTTGCTTCGAGTTGTTTAGATAAGAATTTACCAATGGGGGATTCAGTCCATATGAGTGTGTTAGTAGGTTGCATGCCCTTTCACTTTCCAAGCCCGATATTGGTGATCTTGCAGTGGGGAGCAAAACAGACGGAAGATGTCACATGGGGGTCAAACTGTGCTCACACGGGGTCAATTTTCAAAATCGTCATTCACGTACAATTATAGTCAATTAAACACAAAGGTCACTATTTATAGACACTTTAGGAACTTTATAAGAGCCCTTAACCTCTAATTGATGCTCGTGTATCAAAGTCATGTGATAAAGAGAGAGAAAAGAGAAATTTGGTGAATGGCAGGAAGGTCAACCAGAACAAAATTTTTCAGGTTTCTACCCTGCACTGTGGAAGGATAAAGAGAACCGAAAAGAGGACTGGTTAAAAAAAGTAACCACGCTCGCACTCCTGCACGGGAGTGTCATAATCGTTTTGCGAGTCCTGTTGACCGCAAAAACTTCAGCAGCGCCTTCATCGCTTTCTGGCTTGAAGCTTGAACGTTCCGGGACTACAAAATTTACTGCGCTAAAAGCGACTGGTCATCAAGCCGTGCTGATGTTGAATGACAATATAAAAAGGGAATTTGCCTAAAATCTGGTCTCTAGTGATCAGCCTAAATTTAAATTGATAAAAATTATTTTATGATTGTTGCGGTCTATCGCCCCAACAGCGCGATATGATTGAGATGCCGCAGTAGAGGACTCCAGAAATTTCGGCCACTCTAGAGTTTTTAACGTGCACCTAAATTAAATACACGGGTCTGTTCGCATATAATTATAGTTGGTTGAGAAGGAGGCATATATTATACCTTCCTTTACGGCACTGGTTCTCTCACCCTCACTCGACTTGCTTTTTTTTTAATCTGCCCTGATTTCCACGTCACACTACTTCATGAGTTCACGGTGTTCTTTGAACCTGTTCACTTGCAGTTGCCAGTAGTAATCCACTGTCTTCGTTTGCCGCTTCCTCAAAGTGAACCTTGAACTTGTGTCTTTAGCGGCACCTGGTTAAACGTTTCAGCCACAAAGATGTACGCTGTTTTCTTTTTTTTTCGAGTAGCTCAATTGCTAGCGGAGCCTCATCTTTTCTTTAGGTTGTTGGCTTCATTCGCATGATGTCGACATGACTCATTGTACAAAGACAGCTGATAAGAAGGAATGTCATGCTGCAGTTCAGGAATACATCGCTCATAAGTGTTCCACTTAGAGTGAGTTTTACGGTTGCCTGAACACTGCATTGAAAATTGGTTTCAACAATGGCCTTCAGGTCGCTAGCAAAGCTATCAATCCTTGGGGACCGTCCAGTAAATCTCGGAAACCAGTACCATATATCAGAACTCATGGGGCTGCCATGTGTCAGAATTCTCCACAATTGCATAGTAATTTTCACACAGACGCCGCCTGGGGCGTGTTGCTGTGTGGAAGGCTTGTGACCTTCTCCTCCTTAAGTACCTACAATACCTCGACGGTAAATGTCATGACGCCATCCTGGCTTCACAGTTAAAGCTGCATGTTGATTGCGCTTCACTTATCGAGGCTTTGAGATGCCGAACGTAACAAAGAGCTTCCAGTTTTCCCATCTGCTCGAATACATGATCTGCTCAAATACATGTGCCCACGCTCGCACTGCCGAGAACAATGCACACAAGACGTTTTTGTGTTCTAACCCTAAACCACACCCATCTTTGTTCGAATACTGTGATGATTATACTCAGTGTGATTGCTACAGATATTTCTCGAGACGTGCACGTGTTTTACCAGATGAGGCGCAGCTCCTCCTAATGCTGTGTTTTTATGTTTGTATGGTCGTTAGTACGGGTCGGTGCCACTGGTTTTATAACACTCAGAGGATGATAAAAGGTGGATGGTGGCCCTTTCTACATATCTGTGATCAGAAATGAGTCACGTCATTGTTCTTCCTGTAATGGCAGCAACGTCAAACCAAGCGCTCTTTTTTATCCGCTGAGAACTGCACGTCGCATTCCGCAATGGTGTGACAATAATTGTTGCAGCTTCTATATCTACTACAGACTCAGCAGTAGCCGTGGACATATCTGGGACGTATTTTACTCCTACTTGCACAGGTAAGACGTCTTTGAAATGTATGGACTGCGTTGATTACACTAAAGATGAGTACCACGCGCATGGCTTGCCTCCCTTTCTGATCTCAACCTGGACACGCAGGAAACTAAGAATTTTCGCAGCCTAGCCCTTTCTCTCTTCAGTACTTAGAATAGCGAGTACATCTTGTTGGGTTCTCTTACACTTCCGCGATACAGCATTGCAAAGTCATCCTGCAAGTATTTCATCTGGACGCGCATGGTTGAGAAAACGGTGTATCGGTGAGGTTAGACGCCCCAACAAGTCAATCCGGAAACTCGAAACTGGACCTTGCTGACGAGCAGCCAACAGAACCCAGTCACCTCGACCAAATCTCTTCGTCAATGTCTTGGTCGCGATGCTGTAAATGTCTTGGCCCATTCGCGTGTCCTTTACTGCGCCCTTGACTGCGCCACCCAAACGTAAATGCAGGCATCTTTAATGTGGAAGCAGGTACTTTTCCAGTTGCAAGACTTCTGTGTTCGCACAGATTCGGGCACTCCGTTGCAAAGTGCCTCGTAAAGCATAGCTATCGTCAGTGTCGGCAACACCGCTGTGCCATGATATACCAAGACTTGTTAATTTGAAGTTACTTCTGCTATGTGAGGTGAAGAGCCACTACCCTCGTTGTTTGGCAGCTGCCGGAAGACTGGTGTAGTTGTTTCGTAAAGTGACCGCCAACTTTACTGAACCCACTGCAGTCGCTCTCTTAAGCTTTTGAAGAAAGAACCGCGCTCGGAACACGGTAAAAGACACCTTTCTGTAGCACTCTTCGGTGGCATTGAGTTCATCACGTCAAGACTTCCGCTTTGAAAATAATGAACTCTGCGTTCTTCTCAATAAGGAAGGTAACGTAATAGCCTACTGGAATTTCATACAGAACGCACGCCTGCAGTTCGTCAATGTATTAACTACTGAAACTATGCAGAAGTTTTGCCAGACCGAGCAATACACAAAATTTGTTGTGACTAGCTCTAAAGTATATCATAGTTGACGCATGTCTTTGAAAACAATGGCAAATGAATCATTCTCGTCGGTCACAAGCGCAATTTTTTGCGTGACGCTGGCGTGAAAAACACCATGTTTTATGCGTAACCGCTCACAGATGGTTACAAGACTTGGAAGGACGATGACATGAGAATTTCATCACTAAAAAGAATGCTATTGAATACAGAGCAGCGGCACAGACCAGTCATACCGCCATCTTTTTTTCCCAGTGTTCATGTGCCCCGTCCACCCTTATTACCACCCATCTTCTCCTTATTGCCTGCCACTCATCTGCAGTCACAATTATCATACCACACGCTACTTTTGTCGCCGCGCCATCTTTCTTTGCGATATGCAAAATGTCATGTATACCTCATCAATTATGATTACACATTTGACAGTATCTGTGTGCTGAAACATAAACTTAAAGACGTCGTGCGCTATTGAGTAACGAGTAAATTGGAACGCCTTTGACTCGTTCGAAAAGGAGGAGCAAGATAAACCTTTATTCTAAGAATTCAGTAGCCTCAGTGATGCGAATACCACGCCTAAGTGCCAGCCAGAAGCCATTGGGGCTGCGGCGTCTTCGGTCCACCGGATTGCCCAGAACTCTTACTCTTGATCAATTCTGAGCAGCACAGACTCCAACTTATTTGCAATTACGAGACCCTCTTGTACTACCACTAAACCGGCTCAAAAATGTCAGGTAGGAACGCCCGTTCCTTAAATGGCTCACTGCTGTAGGTGGGGTAACCTGTGTAATAATGGCTACAGGTTTCCGGGTTGGGAATCGTATTTGCCTAATGAAGGTGAGAGGTCACCGATCCAGCTTGTGAAGAGTCTAGTGCGCGGACGGATACAACGTCACTTCTAATTATTAAGAGTTTGTAATTTCTTTGTAGGCAGCCATACGATCTCCTCTAGACTACCTGAGGATCACTCACCTTGTCCTTCATTTGTGCAGCGGTGTCAAAAGTTTGGAAACATAGTTCTGTTGATGGTTCTGTTGAAAAGTGACACCGAAGCATTGTTATTGATGGAAATCATCGTCTTTGCCGTGCCCAACTCCTCCCCTCTAACCTGACATGCCTGCAAAAATCAGAATGATAGCAAGTCAGCAAACAAAAATAGTTCTTGTAATCGTCCAATCTGACATTATTACATCTTTCATTTCGACTACAGGGTAAACGTTACCCACCTAAGTAAGGTTATGTGTCCTACAACAATATATTAAGGAATGTGTCACTATTATGTCTGCGTTTGCACTGTTCCTAGCTTTTTCAACGCGCGTTTGCAGCTTCCGACGCCTTTATTAAAGCACGTAAACAACAGCAAGGACACTGCTCCCTTCGCAGTGGCCAGTGGCACCAACAACTGTGAAACGTACTATTTGCTTGACAAGATAGCAGAGGCCGTCTGTCTAAACGCTTGCGCGTCTGTTCGGCCGTTCGTGGCTAAACACGGCTCGCGATGCAGACCGAAAGACTTGAATCCGCAAACAATATGCAACCGCAAACGTGCGACAAAGTGAAAAGAGCAGAATGAAAGCAAGAATATTTCGTAAACTTCCCGTATCTCACTTTATATCACCACACACATGATTCAACACCAGCGCCATCCCGTAATCTGCCAGCTGCCAGAAATAGTTCGGACAGTCCTAGACCCTCCGCAGGCCACCAGGCACGCGTAAAACGAACATGCATGCGAACATGCATCAAAGTGGTCTTAGAGCAGTTGGCAGAGCTCCCTGTTGGTCCCCGCGAGAAAATAGCACCATATTCACGGGCTGAATGATGCAGAGTGGGGCGAAGCTGGGTCCTCGCACCGCTGCCGTGCCGCTTCGGCTTCCCGTTGTCGTACTGCAGGCTCTTCGCGGTGCACTTCTGCCGCGAGCTCCCGTATGTTGGAGGAGGAATAAACATTTATTGAACCGACATACTAAGGTTTCCGTAGGTGGAGCCCTTATTCCAGGGCCCCACTGGCTCGAGCGGCTCACTCGGCCTGGTACAAGGTTGCCCGCTGGCTTCCCAGGTCCTGCCGGTTGAGTCGCACCTCCCACGACCTTTTGAATTCGTTTCGTGTGATGAGGGGTGAGTTGCCCTCTGCTGGTCTTTGTTGGTAAGTCCAAGTGATGTGCTGGAGTGTTGGTGTGTCACCGCACCAAGGGCAGCGGTCAGCGAATTGGGATGGCCGAATTTTGTTCAGTGTGTGTATGTTGGGATATGTGTTCGTCTGTATTCGTGTCCAATCCATGGATTGCCAGCGGGTGAGTTTATGGCAGGGGGTCACTTCGACTGCGAGCTGCTGCCACCGCCCTGTGCACACGCCGCTTAGCAGCCTTGTCTATTCTCCACGGCCAAGCCTCTGATGCGTGCGCGCGCGCCAAAACGGTGCTTTTATTGTACCATAGAGCGCCCCCTGACGAACGGCGCCGCCGAAGAACGGGCAAGCGTATTCGAGCGATCGTCTCTCTCTGCTTCCATACGTCTGAGGTAAATCCTTCTTTTCTACAAGTAAAGCCCTCCAGTGTCATACCATTTGCATTTTTCAGCGTACATTAGAAGTACGGCCCTCTATGGCTGGGTCAAGAATTAACGAGGGGTGGTTACCCACAAAGGCGATGCACAAGTCAAGCCATAAGGAGCTTCGAGCCTAAAACAAATGCAGCACCGGCGCTCGGCCCCGTCCGGAGCTTTGAGGAAAGAAGAAAGTCCGGAGCCATCTGGGAGTGTCAATCGAAAAAGGTCGATAATGCATCGTGGTCGTGGCCTTCACGATTAGCGTCACTGCTACACGTCCTTCCCGATCGGTGCAAATCCAACAGGGGAACTGCAATTTTCTCAATGTCTTAACACACCACGAAGTGCCAACGTTATCCCAAGCCACGGGCTCGCTCATGTTTTTCATTCATACTAAAGAAAATAAAAACACCGCCCAAGCGCTTCATACAAATGGTTAACAGAGAAGTGGCTATAAGAGGGAAAAGAAGAGAAAAGTGAGCCCCGTAACTGTTTGCACCAGGGTGCGACACCTCAACAGTAGCTCACGAGGAATGTGGGTAAGGAGGGATTAAAAGGATAGAATAAAAGGTATAGAGTTAGAGAGAGAGATGCGCTGGGACAGCGAGCGAGGACATATGAGGGAATAGGAGAGATAGGAAAGATGGAAATATGGTCACAAAAGTCCGAGGATGGGGCACCACTTGCGAGAGCTCTTGTCGGCGTCAAGAGATTGCGTAGGGCAAGTCCAGTAGTTCAGAGCTACGCTGTCATTGGAGATCGGCGTTAGGAGATGACGTAGGGCCAGCCGAGTCGGCCAGAGCTACGCTGACGTCGGAGATCGCGAGGGCACAACCGGTCAGCACGGAATCCAGCAAGCGAGTGAAATGGTTAACAAGCGGAAGCTGAAACGTGCAGTTTCAGTGTGTTCAGTAGTAGGCTCCACCCGACGCTGCACTGAAGCCATTCACCGCGATTGGTTACATATTCTTGCTTTTTAATGTTTAGACATACATTTGACTTCGGTTTACTACCGTGTTTATTTACCATGCCGCACACAGATGTCACAGCCACAGCCAAAGTTCCGCTGGACGAACTACCACCGAAAGCGGTTGTTCTCTCCTGCGAACGCGCTTCCGCACTCACGTTAACGCCCGCGACGACACTTGCTCGGCGCGCCGTTGTTGCAAGCGTTTGACCTTGCAAGCTAATTCGTCGGTGAGGTTTGCAAGATGCGCCCGCCACCGGCGCTTGCATTCGCTTTCGCTATTTAGCGCGGCTTCGAAGGCTGCCGGACCATCGGTACGCAGTTACTACGGGCACTCGGCCTCACGGACCTGTTTTTGTGCCCGGACTGCCGCATCAGTCCGGCCAATGATGCGCGCTCTTTTACGTTTATGCTCTCGGCGCTCTTCCAAATTTGTCCATGATTCGGGAGTTTGTGGGATTGGGGGCGTAACCATTTGGAATCTCTGAGTAGAGACTTATGCACACGTGCTCCGCGCCTCTGCTGAGACGGAATGGACGACGTCTCTCACATCACAGCCAATTGCGCGCGTGCTTCGGTATGACGCCGACAACGAAGTAATTGATGACCTAGCAAGTGGAAAACACTCGTGACGTCGATGCCGAATGGTTTTCTGTTTCTCCTTGCCATGTAGAGCTATCGCTGTGAAAGCTCTCCGAGGCGCACATGTTTCGCCTGGCATATTGCACTCTCACTTCGCCGTAACACCGTATTCCCCACGTACGCTCGCCCCGAGATAAATGGCGAAAGCGCTAAACAGAACACACGAGGCGCGTTGCGCTTTCTTCCATGCGTTTTCCTCCATTGCGTTCTCCTCCAGATCGATTTATTGATATGAGTTGTTTAACTTCCGAAAACAACTATATATATATATATATATATATATATATATATATATATATTTATTTTTTCATTTAATAAAAAAACTATCATATTATTATTATGAGAGACACCATAGTGGAGGGCTCCGGAAATTTTGACCTGCTAGGGTTCCTTAACATGCGCCCAAGTCTAACCACAAGGGCCTACAGCATCTTCGCCTCCCTCCAAAATGAAGCCGCCGCAGCCGGAATTTGATCCCACGACCTGCGGGTCAAAAGCCGTGTACCTTAGCCACTATACCACCTCAGCGGGGCTCAGATGCATCAGGACAAACTACGTTCGTCATCATGAAACTCGCACAAGAAGTTCAAAAAAAAATAACTTGCTTCCAATCAAAGATTGCTGGTACGAATACAGTGCTGCAGGTCCTTCAAGTGGATGTGGCTAAGGTGTGCCTACAGTTTTATGAAAATAACACGGGCATTGCCTGTACCATAAAGAAACATTATCGATCGTGAACAGCGCAACGACAACAAAAGAGTGAAAACATGACACAAAGAATCGCAACTCGCCCAAGAAACTACATAATATCAAACTAACATTTGCTATATTAAGGTTGACACATCGCCGACACTCATTTGGAAGAACGATTACCATTTCAGTTAACACTATAGCAAGTTTATTGTCACTTTTAGCTCACTCAATTTATTGTTAACCAGCGAAAGCTGAAAAATTCGGCCCAGTCGTTTAGCAGTGGCTTCAACCCGACGTGGCCCCAGAGCATTTCACAATTACTGGTTACACGTTCGTGCTTCCTAATGAAATGAGGCGCCCCTATTGCTCCGGTTTACCATACTGTTACTTCACATGCCGCGCATTGTGTCTCACATTATAGTGGCCATGAATAAATGTAGTGAGCGGTTAAATGCGTTGCGCAATGCGTCAATCACCATGGTTGTTCTTGAATCTAAGGCTGTCACAGACGTCGCAGCCAAAGCCAAAGTGCCGCTGGTGAAACTCGCGCCAAAAGCGACTTGCCGAATGCGCTCCCACAATCATCCCATTGACGCCGCAACGCCCCGTTCTTGCAAGCGTTTTACATCGTGAGCTAACTCACAGCACAGCCAATAGCGTGTGTGCTTTGGAATGACGTAGCTGTTAGCCCATCCGATCGAGACCGCTCAAGAATATTGCAGAAAGGATTCTAGTTTTTTCTAGCCTTATACAGCTATCACTATAAAACTAACAAGCGTACAGCATCTGTGCTGAAAAGCTGCGCTCTCGCTTTAAATCTCTCTACAGGCTGCCCTTCTAGTGGCGCCGCGGTGGCAGCCCGGAGCACTATGCACGTCATGCAGCATCCGCTCTACGCAGCAGGCCCCATCATGTGTTTTTTTGTCGAGCAGCCATGTCTCCCTACACTCCTATAATCCTAATTCTCCCGAATCTAGGCCACTGAAAACTTCCTGTTAACACTTGGTGAAGGGGATTGGACAGATCGTGTCATCCTGCCTTGCTATCTTCTTTATTGAGATTCTGTTGCCTTCTTTATGGAGGACTATGGCGACTGCGGATTCACTGCATACTTCTTCCACTATGTTTATAGAAACACCGCTGTTGTCCTAATTTCAAA